TTGAAAAGATTATTCATAGAAATGATAGATGGATTCAATAAAGCTTCAATTGTAAACAACTTTTGTTATCTACAGTAAAAACAAACTTATCAAAACTTGTCTTACTTGAGTCAATACTTTATTCCTCTTAAGAAAACTGCAATATAGCATTATGTATTGCTAAGTAGAATGTGAAGAATAGAATGAGTATCCTAAATATAATTATCATCAAACATAGAGGACCAAGGTAATTAACTACTAAGATGTAAATGGTATTTATGGATGAATACCAGGGTAATATTCAACATGTTTTCTGAACATATCCATATCAGGACTTTTAGCCTCAGTAAAGAACTAAGCTATCAAGTTTGCTCTAAGTTATGGAAGATTGTTACTATTATTAACCTACTGTTTTTTTTTTAAATGTTACAAGTTCAAGTTGTGTGAAGTAACATGTGTAAAATTAGTGAGGGAACCGTTTTTCATTCCTTTTGATAAAATATGTCTATTAAGTAAAAAAATAAACATTTTCTGTTTGATGGCATGTCACTTTGTAACGTCAATTGAAGAATGAGATATTCATCACCCATAAGATTTGTTGTTGCATTAGGAACTTAGTATAGTTGATAGTGTGAAAATCGGACTTTAACTTGTTTGCGAATCTGTAGGTTTCGAATCTAATCCCTGATAGGCCTATGAGATTGAGAATTGTCATTTTAGGTCAGAACAGTTATTCATCAACACCAAGTTTACAGTGGTGTTACAACTGACGTGAATCTTCAAACTATACTATTCATAAATAAAGAAAAGAAGTATAAATTAAAACACACTACATCTGATAAGTAGTTTCATAATTTATAACTTGACTTCATGAACATGTATAGTAATTAAAGTACTCTTATTAAATTTAACATTATTAATAGTTGTTTCTAGAAACAAATACATTTACACAATTCTACAAAAGTACAGATTTAAATAAACTGTTAAAATATTCTATTTTATTTTTCAATTATCATCTCATTATACCAAATAGTTATGCTTCAATGCAAATCATGATTTATAATGAATTATTTCAATAGACATATGCTAATTCCCAAGGAAAATAATGAGGATATCAGTCTGACTTATTTTTTTTCTCAAAGATCGTTAGTTTAAGGAATAGAAAATTGTGTCGTATGGATTTTCCCTTCAATAATAAATGGATTAATATTACTGTTTTTTTACTATTTGGTTACCTATGAACAGGTGAAGAAATGAAAAAAACTACTTTGGTTAGAATAAAATACTAGTTATAAAATGAATATATGAATGTATGTATTATTAATAATGACAGTATTCATTCTTGTGACTATTCAATTGTCTGTGTCTAAATATGATTCTATTGAAGCGTGAAAAGATTATTTAATCATTTCTTTTTAAAACTTTATCCGTTCGACTGACTTTTTCAATGGTCTTTAATCTTAATATCATCTTTAACAAAAATAAAGAAGGAACGAATTGAGCGAAGAAATTTCTTTTCAATTAGTTTTTCATCATGGCTCTACACTAATATATATACGTTTTACAATAATAATATAATACTCATCGAGTAGATACGTTACGTAATAATTACATAATGACATTTAAATTAACATTGATTAATTGGAAGAAAGAGGATTATTAATATTCAAAGTGATCAAGAAGTTGCTTTTGAACTTAATAACTTCTCAACATTCATCTCTTGGTTCTTACGTAACTACCATCCTATTGACCATCCATTAAAATTCTGTTCCTTCTTTGTTTTTTACATTACGCAACTTAGCAACTTCTTGATCACTTTGACTATTAATAATCCTCTTTCTTCCAATTAATCAATGTTAACGGAATGGGTTTTGTGGAGATTTTAGAAATTTCACAGATTGAAATCATGAGTCAGTTGAAGCTAGACCACCATTGAAAACCTGGAAGCACTGGATTGGTTGAAGTTAGACATTAACACCGTTGGATGCCGGCTCAGTGGTCTAGTGGTTAAGTGCTCGCGCGCGAAGCCAGTAGGTCCTGGGTTCGAGCCCCGCGTGGTGCGGGATCGTGGATGCGCACTGCTGAGGAGTCCCATACTAGGACGAAACGGCGTTCCAGTGCTTCCAGGTTTTCAATGGTGGTCTAGCTTCAACTGACTCATGATTTCAATCTGTGAAATAATCAATGTTAATTTAAATGTCATTATGTAATTATTACGTAACGTATCTACTCGATGAGTATTATATTATTATTGTAAAACGTATATATATTAGTGTAGAGCCATGATGAAAAACTAATTGAAAAGAAATTTCTTCGCTCAATTCGTTCCTTCTTTATTTACCAAATGGCAAAATGGGAATTTTCACTATATTTAACAAAAATACTTATTCAAATATTTCACTATTCCATTGTATAACAAAGTCAGCTAGTTATCATTTAAAATAAGATTAGTGTCTGATATACATTGCTTTGAATGATACAGTTAATTAGATAAGCCATTTCATCGTAGTAGTTAAACATTATTTAAAAAGTATATTAACTACTATTTCACACTGACAACATTGAATGTATCTAAATTCTATCTATTAACTGTCATAAGGTATATTTATGTATTGAGGGATCCGTAGAAAGTATTCATGAGTTAGTTTTCGTTACTTATAAATGTCGAATACTTTTAGGGAGAGAATAAAAGGAGAAAATTTGACAAGTCTGTAAGGTAGATGTAATAACTTACCATTTTGATTTTTGGTCGGGTTGTCGAATATATATATATATATATATATATATATATATATATATATATATATATATATATATATATATATATATATATATATATATATATATATATATATATATATATACCAGAATTATCCATCGAATTCTGTCCTGGACAATCCTTTCCAATTCTTCCCAATTGCTGTTCATCCTTTTCATATCGCACTGTTCTTTGGCCTTTCTCTTTTTCAGTTTTATTTCAGTATTCGAAGTTAGCGCTTGTCTAGTGATGCAGTTTGGTGATTTCCGTAATGTATGTTCTATCCACTTCCATTGTCTTTCCCTAATTTCCTCTTCATATGGAAGCTGATTTGCTTTTTCCCACAGTTGGCTGTTGTTCATGACGTCCAGTCAACGGAAATACAGTATGTTGCATAGATAATAGTTTATAAATACCTGTACTATTTTGATGATGTTTGAAGTAGCTCTCCAAGTTTTAGCTCCATACCGTAGAACTGTCTTGATATTCGTATTGAAGATTGTGACTCTGATGTTGGTTGACAGATGTTTTGAGTTCTATATGTTTTTCAATTGTAGGAATTCTGTCCCTGTTTTGCCAATCTTTGCCTTCAATTGGTAGAGTAGCAATCGTCTATTATGGAAAGTATTTCAATAATAATGTCGAGTAAAAAACAGAATAATGCAATATTTTTTGACAATTTATTTAACTGTTAATAAAGTTCTTATTATTAGTCAAATTTTCAAAAATAAATTAAACATTAATAACAGTTTTCTTTAAAGACTTGAATATGTATTCTAGCCTTAAAAACTAAGATTATTTGGATATTAGTTTTGTTCTGGTTTAAGACTTTTAAGCGGTATGCAACTATGAGGGTAAGCGGAAAAAAGGTCAAAAACTTATGTCTTCACAGATAGAGAAAGTTATTAGTTGACCACCCAATCAGTAATGAAAACATGTTCACATTACAAATTTCAATGATTCTCCTCACTTTTCGTAAAACAAACTACGATCATAATGGACTAATCTCCATTAACCAATCAAATAAGTGTTTATATTTTTGATCTTTTTTGATAATGGAAAATTCCATTATTGTCTAACAAAAATAAAGGAATTCAAAGCAGGAAGTTTGTCAGTGTGGTGGAGGTAATATTGACATACTTATTTTGGTCAGTATTACTTTCTTTTTTCCTAAGTTCAATGTGTCATTTAGCTTAAATTTCTCGGAAATTGCATCATAATTTATTTGCCATTGACGTTAGCAAGCTGAAAACATTAGTTTATTTCAGTTTACGTCATTTGGAACTGCATTTAGAAACGTTTATACGCCGTTATCCATCAGTAGGTTCACTGCTAAAGTTGATAACTGAATGCGATTTCAAGTCCTCAAAGAATTACAAGTACTCCAAAGGTTATCTTTAAATTTTTATATTATATTTTAGGAAGTATGCCAAGTAAATTAAAATTTTTCCATCAATTATGTATAAACACAGGGCAATATTAAAACCTAATTGTTTATGTTAAGATGATCATACTATTAACAGAAGGATGAGTGTTTGTTTAGTAATTGACTAATAGCTAAAAATGTCATTATTTACTTGAAGAATAGTAGTTCTTTAATTGTTGAATTCATAAGTTGATTTAAAGTAGACCACTGTCGAAATCCTGGAAGCACTGGACGGGCGTTTCGTCTTACTATGGGACTCCTCATCAGTGCACACCCACGATCCCGCACCAAAGACATTCGAACAAAAGGCTGGTCTTTCGTGCGAACGTTTAACCTCTAGACCACTGAGCCAGCATCCAAATGTGTTAATGTCTAACTTCAGCCAGGTTATCAACAGTAGTCTATCTTTAATCGATTTATGAATTCAATTATTAAATTATTACATTCTTCACAAACGTCTATCTGATAATAATAGCTCTATTGCATAGTATAGACTAAAGTAGTAGGTAACGTTTAGAAGTATCATTAACTGGTTATGAACTAATTGATGATTAAATAAGTTACCGAGTTTATAATTATATTTTGATTCATAGTTGAAAGTAATTTAGTGTAACTTTAACACATTCGAATATGACTTTGATTTCAGTTGTCATTTTTCTTGTACTTACGTATGATTATTATCTACGTTAAATTATGTTTACCTTACTTTGAGCATTTAAGAATTAAGTTGATATTGACAGGTGTAATCATCTTGTTGTATCTGATTGGATAAAATTAATGAAATTAGAATACAGACAGAAGTTAGATATATACTAATCTGATCTGTATACATGTTCAAATGTTTATATCCTTATGAGTATATATATTTGAGTATATTTATCCAATATAAAATATGAATAGATTTCTCCATTGAATACCTAGAATTTAATTAATATATTGAAATGAAATGTACTTTCATTCTATCCGATTAGTAGCTGAATAATTTATACCTTATTGTTCACATTTCATATTGAGGTTATTTAACATTACCAATATTATACAATTTATTAAACAAAAGTAAATAGCGCCAATTTTTTTTAAAAAAAAAGAAGTGGATATTTCCAAGTGAACTGTTGTTTATTTTAACAAAAGAAAAGAAAAAAAAAACAAATTAATAGAACTTTTATAAGATAAGGTATGTTATTTAATCCATTTGTGATTCACTGTTCTTTTGTTTTGTTTGTTTTTATTGTTGAAATGATAATCACTAAGTTACTTAAAATATTTACTTGGACAATTCGAAATTTTAGAGATTGTGAAGAGAAAAATTTGTCAGACTATTAGTTAAATTTTTTTCTTAAAAAAAAGTAAAACAAAATTTTAAAACAAAATCAGTTATCAAATGATGGTTTGTCTAAATTATGGGGACATGCAGACTTTAAATTATTATTATTATTATTATTGATATTATTACTGTAGTTGCTGTCGGTTTTGCCATCTAGTCGACTGTATTCATATGTGGTCTTTGATTTTGATTATATCATATACATAAGCTTAGTCATTCTGTATTTAAACAAATTAGATCTATATGGTCATTAAAAAAAATACTTATTGTTATTATGTTTATCAGTAGACATATATACTTTACGCTTGTTTCTTACACATCTACAGTTGTATAAATGTATTATGAGATTTATGTGTAAGCTAAATTGAACTGATGGTTCGTAACTATAACGTATTGAATAGGTGGTTGACAAATTTCCATCTCTCTCTACATATATATACATATATATCTATATAATATTTTAAGTAAGCACTAATTACAGTCCTAGTAATCATGTTTACTGAAAAGCTGATAATTTATTAAATTTTACATCATTGAGCAAAATCATACATTACAGTTCAGTTTGATTAGTTCTTCGAATGATGTAAATATTACAATGGTATTTTTCAATAGCTGAGCATGTAGATCAAATCAAAAATCTATTTTTAAAATTAATAACAGGACGTAGATGTATTCAGCGGCGTTTTAATTTTCAATATTTATTCCTGGTTTGTTTAACTCCTTCAGTCAAAGTATTTTCATCAAGTAAACTTATGGATATTACTGCGAAAACCTTTCCATCTGGTTTATTTATATGGACGTAAAGAAATTTTCGGATGATCAAATAAAATTTTCATATCTACTGTATGTGTAATAGCTAATCGGACGTTAATATACTTTGATTCAACACTTAGTTGCGAAATTCTCACAGAATTACCTAATAACTGAAGTGGATTCTTCAACAGCTCGTACTCATATTATCACAAATAATCAAGCTTAAGATCTTCGGACCATGGGGTTGGTAAAATACATTCAGTTTAATGAATTAAAATCCAACGACTGACATCATATGGTCCTCGACAAGTGTTGTCAGTGAGTTGTTGTCATTATCTCCGACATAGTTGTAGTTCCTATTCATTGGCTTCTCACATAAAATTACAAAAACCCATCCTGAAGTCAGTTACTAGTGAAAACATAACATTATGATGTAATTAGATGAATTTTTTATGTTAAAGATAGCTTTCAACAGATTTTGACATCAAATAGGGTACCACCAATAATCCGGAAGCACTGGATAGTTTTCAACCTACTTTGAAGCTCTTTAGCAATTCGTATGTAGAGTTTGGGGATTAGTAAGAACTCTTCGACTTTGATTGGATACAATCTAAGGTTCATCAACAAATTGTATATCATACCGTAAATGAACTGATGCCTTCTGTTTGGGAATAAAATAGGCTCAAAATCACTATAATGAACGAAGATTTGGTAGAACGAACAACTTTACTGAACTAACCCAAATTACACACTGTATTTATAAATACACCATTTGTACATCTTTCTTGAATTATCTTCTACAAACTCGGTCGTTCTTCCATTGCTGTTTCTATTGTGATTGTTTTGGTTTTTATTTTTCACTTTTCATTTTTTTCTTTTATCACCAAAAATCTTACTTTCAATTCCTGATACATACTACTTACACCTATCTGCATAAGTAGCACATATCACACTGATATAAATGGAATGTTTCGCTGATATAATAGAACATTAAGAAGACATATTTTTTATTTGAATAAGTGTATCGTTAAAATTCAAGTATCTACATATTATTAAGCACAATGTCAGCTAATAAATAAACCTAATTTTTATATTGAACTACCTATTATACTACTATAAAGAACTGATCTCTCTATTCAGCTTTTATTGATAGTATAACTGATAATATTTTTTCATAAACATCATTTATTTTTTACACGATAAAATCAAACGTATTGAAGTACTGATATGTAGAGAAAATAAAGACATTGAATCATAATTATAATTCATGTGGTCCTTTTGTAGTCAGGTAGATTTATTATCAGCAAAAATATAATAATATTGTTAGTAACTAATAATAATAATAAAGGTAAATAGGTAAGTACAATCGTTTATAAATCTCTATTGTGCAATTCCAAATTTAATAACTGAGTGAAGTAAGATAATTGATGTTGTTTTGATTCATTCAAATACTTAAATAAACGTGATTTAATGTTTTTAACAAGCACGAGTTGATGATATGGAAGGGAAAATGAGAACGCCTTTCTATTTCTGTCCAAAGAAATAGTAATCTATCGTCTGAATATTGTAAAACTGATAAAAAATAACTTGGAAGGAACATAAAAAATTATTTAATGTATGATTCAGTAAAATTTTAAACTGGCAGTGAGTTTTATTAGATCGACCTATGCCATAAATAGCTCTGGGCTGCTATCTGGGTAAAAATGGTGTTGAGACTCTTGTTGATGTCAGGTGTTTGGTTCAAACCGTGTATAGAAATGTTTAGAACTAATATCGATTTGCAGTGATTCAATTTTTCATTCAGAACTATGCAGACGATTAACAGTGTTTTACTGACCACTTGAATTCATAGGGATGGGATAATCTAGTAATGGTCAGTAAAAATCATTGTATAATTGACACAATGCCATCAGTTACTAAATATTAAAAGAGAAAAGAATTTTAGGTGAATCATTAAATGATACCTGACTACTTAAATCAACTCCTGCCTGCCATCAGACATGACAGGTATAGGTGCTAGAAGAAAGTAAAATGATTTGAGTTCAAGTGCTTCTCGTCAATGAAAAATTAAACAATGGTAAAACAACTACAAGCAGATGCTTTAAATTCTATATTTACTTCAACTGATTGTGTTATCCTGGAGATTCGAATAACCTTGTTGTTGTTTTCTTGTATTTATTCTATTTTTATTTCATTTAGTTAAGTATGCCCAAATTAATAAAAATATGTATTTTACTCCAATATATCTCTCTGACTGTATTAGTACATACCGACTTTGAACCGCTACAGAAAAATTCAACGAACAAGCTTTTGATGCAGATTTCTTGAATAAATATATTTATAGTTTGAATACACCTAATAAGTTGTCGAATAGTTTATCTACCACGGGGATTCTTTACATCAAGTTTGTTTTCAAAGCCACATATATATAATAATAACTGAATATACAACTACTTAAATGTATTGTATAGTTTTCCCTATCAGATTTAAACAAGACGAACAGTTTCAAAAAATACTAATGACGTAATTTCACTAATCAAAAAGAAATGGTTACTTAAAAGAAATAATTAAGTTTAGAAAAAGACTAAAATGTTTTAAAATCTTGATTAATATAGGGTTGACACAAGTGTGTAAATGAAGAACATTGGTAGAAAGAATTGATTTCACATAAAATAATTAATGAAATCAGTACTTATTCACTTTATTACTGATTATTATTGAACTTCAAGGGTTCCTTATGTACATTGTCTCTATGCTTTTGTTGCCGATCAAGAAGAGATAGAAAGCAATCTAAACAATGTATTGGTAATCAATAATGAAATACCAATTGACCTAGTCAGTTATCCTAAAAAAATAGAAAATATGAAACTTACGTTATCGTTCTTGATGAATTTATATATTTTTTCAATAAATATCATTTTAAAAAATTGTTCCATAATTTGTTTATATGGTCCTGATTATGGACTCATTTTGGACCTACTGATAAATCTGTAATCACCCAACTTTTCAAATAGGTGGTTAACTCAATTCATAATAAAGCTGTGTATATTATGTATTTGAAATGCTTACTGATTAGGTTAAACCATTCTTTGATTTTGGTTCAACTTGTGAATGCATAGGAAATAGTTATCACTTCAAATAAACATTTACCATTTGCTAATTAAAAATCATTGAAAAAAGGGAGTTAATTAGTCACTTCTTGTATATACTGATGAATTAAGTAGAACGTTTGATTGAAATAAATCTACTACAGAAAATGAGTTATCGAGTATGAAAGTGATAAATGTTTTATCGAATTCCTTTAGTTGCTTACTAGTAATGGAGTAAATAATGGTGAAATAATAATATTGCTTATTATTAATAAACGTTTCTTTTTTAAAATCAGTTCATGCATATTTGTTTGAAAGTTGATATTGGAAAGGAGATTTACATAGTCTAATTAGCAATTTGCACGTGGTTTTACTAGTACTTATTACGTAAATACTACTAACATTCATTGTATGAAAGCGTTCACAAATTATATTCTAAGTTTATCAAAGGGCACATGAATAGTGGTATCCGATTAGCTGAACAGCTAATTCATGCTCAATCAAAATCCTAAAGGGTTGATTACGTACTTATAGAACTCAAACCAGGACTTTTAATATCATAATAAGATCATAATAAAACCTAACTGTTCATTGAAAATCTAATGAAATGCATTCTCTAACGTTAAACAATTAGCAATACAGTTAATAGCTTGTTTTTCTTATAGTTTTACTGAATTTACATTAGATTAAACGTTGTGTTGCCAATAGTCATCTTCATTTATTTTTGTTTTTTAAATCCTGTTTGAATAAGGGGCTTTTGGGATAAAATTGAATGAAGATTCCCAATAAACATGATATATATATATATATATATATATATATATATATATATATATATATATATATATATATATATATATATTCTTACCTGCTCACTGTTTACAATATATGGAATAATATTTTGTATGAATGTTTCACCGTTAATGTAGCCAACGTATGTTTTTCAATATATACTCAAATTTATTAGTCTATTCATAAATATAAATGTTTTATAATATGAAACATTTA